TAAGTTAAAAAATAATAACATTACATCTACTATTAAGTTAATATTGTATAAAGTTTAACGAGTATAATGAGAAATACAACGATGACATTAATAAAATACAATTATCAATCATGTATTTATGTGATGGTTCACAATATTATTTATAGTTTTTATGAGGTTACTAACATAAAATTTACTCTTTTTTTGATTTAAGTGTATAGTATTTTAGTTATTTTTATTTTCTATCACATAATCATAAATATTGATAATGTGTTAATATATATATATTTTCTCTGTTATTAAGAATATGATTTAAATTTTGATAATATATACTTTTGGATTTGCATGATATGTATTAGCTAATGAAAATTATGATATAAATTGATTTCTACTGGTTTTAGGATCCACGTTAAATATTATTTTAAAATTTAACGGATTACTTATTAAAATTTAAAGACTTATTTCATTTATAGTATTTACCCGCGTATTAACGCGGATCCTATTCTAGTCTTATATAAATGATCAAATTAGATAAAATTGTAAATCATTATTTCTAAAATATTAAAATTTTAACTTAATGAAATTAATGGTTAACTTTATTAAAAAAAAATTTACTTTGATAAATTTTAAGATTATCACTTTTTAGTTAATAATTTTAAAAACTAACCATTAATACAAAATATTACGAAAAAAGCTTGTAATGATATTAATGGTTAACTTTGAAATTATTTTCTGTTCATGAAGAAAATATTTAAATGCAGTGATATCTATAAATATATTAATAGTGAAGATAATTATGAAGACATTTATTATAGGTCTATTTCTGAAGCTATAAATCCCGAGACCCTTTCAATAGTTTCCAACACAATCCATACAAACATATTCCAAGTAAGGGATCGATTTAATCCAATTTTTTTAACTCAAATTGTTATGAAATCGTTAGAAGGATCGTCCTTCACGTATTAAAAACACCATATATACTAACAGCATTACTCTTGTTATTTCATTTGACTAATAGGCAATTAGTTTGGTGATTAATCGTAAAGATGTCGATGGAGAAAAAAGCAATGCAGAGGATTGAGAAGGAATTCAAGGATATGACCTCGAAAGAGTCTTTGTACAGTATTGGTAAATAGTTTCTTTTCTTTCGCATACATCTTAATTTTGATTCGTTAGTATATAAATTAGATGCCTTGTTATATATTGTTGATATCTTTGCTTGTAACAATAACCACACTAGGTA